AGAAAAAAAGATGTGGAACCAATATATCTAAAAGCATAAGTCATTGGAGAGTGTACATATTTACTTATTCAATATGCTCACTTGTGCATGCAGAATTAATTTTTCATCTGAGGCCCAAGACGAGCACAATTTAAAAAGATCGAAAGAAAAAAAGATGTGGAACCAATATATCTAAAAGCATAAGTCATTGGAGAGTGTACATATTTACTTATTCAATATGCAGAATTAATTTTTCATTTGAGGCCCAAGACGAGCACAATTTAAAAAGATCGAAAGAAAAAAAGATGTTGAACCAATATATCTGAAAGCATAAGTCATTGGAGAGTGTACATATTTACTTATTCAATATGCTTACTTGTGCATGTAGAATTAATTTTTCATCTAAGGCCTAAGACGAGCACAATTTAAAAAAAGGTGGTATTTAGTTTTGAACTTAGGACCTTTGCTTATACTATAGGAACTATCTTATCTAAAAGTTTAAGTTCCTAGAGTAGAATACATTTATTTAGTTAAATTTAATTTTTACCGAAAGAAAGTCTCAAAATAATTTATCCACTCATCGTGAACAAAAGGGCATGTATGCACTCAAGAATTCCCTTTACATATTTCTGCCCATATCTTCTAGTTTAGCATATTACCAATTCCAAGTTGCAGCTTTTGAAAAGGTTGTCGTGTACTTAGATAATCATAGTCTTTGTTCCATTTGATTGGTTTCTGCGTTAATATAATTCTCAGTTTGACTCTTAAGTACTTAAAAGTTTACTAGAAACAACTTGGAACCTTCATTTTAGTCCCAGTTGGTACTATATTTAAAGTTATCTTAGACACGCTTTTGCTTATGTAGGTGAAAAAATACATTGATGTATATTCATATTTGTTGTTGATTGGTTTTCAAAGAAAGATTTGCTGCATGTATTAGAGTTGTATGCTTAGGCTCGAGTTCTGGTCACTCACTTCGGATAGTCAGTACTACAAAAAAAAAAAGCTCTTTTGTGTTGTTGTTGTTACGTGCTATCAAAAGGCAAATTGAAGCATATTTTGGATTTTTGGTTAGAGATGACAAAAAAAAAAAACCCATTAAATCCAATACCCACGGGCCCCAGCCCCAAACAGAGTAGGGATTACCCGCTTAATCGGGCATTCGGGGCGGGGACAGGATGGGACGAGACGGGATGGAAAAATTCGCCCCGCCTCGCCCCATCCCATTTATGGGAAAATTCGCCCCATTGCACCCCCATTTAATATTTAAAATAAAACTTAAAAGATTGTAAGTTTACAAAAAAGAAATTGTTAATTGTATGTAATGGCCTAGGCCCAAACCCACAATTTGACCCAATTGGAAGTGATCCCTTCCCAATGCCCAAACCTTAGGATGTTAC